GGGTCGCTGGTCTGGGTTTGGGTGTGGGTAGTCGGTTGTTGGTGTGGGCAGTCGGTTGGATTGAATTTTGATGTAGGCAGTCGGTTGTTGGTTGCTGTCGGTGGTACCAGGCAGTAGCTTGTCTGGTTTTGTCGCTGGCGGTGTGGTCTGGTTCTGATGGGAGGCTGGGTTCCTTTGCTGGTTTGAGTGGGTCGATGGAATGGGCTGGTGTGTGGTTTTGTCGGTGGGGCTGCTGGACGGTGTAGCAGAGGTAGACGATTTTGGTTTGTCGGTTTTGCTGGTGGGCAGTGATGTCGGTGGCTGGTATGTGGGTTCTGTCGGTGGGGCTGCTGGACGGTGTAGCAGAGGTAGACGATGGAGTGGAGGCTAAGTTAGAATTAGGGTTAGGGTTAATGGCTCTGATACCAACTTGAGATAGTTGTGAATGAAAAGAGATACTCAAACTCAAAGTAGAGTCCCGTATATATAGCCAAAAATAATACAGAGTGACTTAAACATCCTTGTAGTTTAGGCAAAATATAAAAATCATAGTAAGGGTAAAAAAGAGAAAAGAAATTCTAATAAACCTAGACTATCTATACTCCAACAGTGTGTAAACTGGCCTGAACACCCCATACCGTTAAATAAAAAAAAATAGAAAAATCTTCTCTTCTTTACAGGTACAGACAAGAATGATCATGATCAATCAATTTGATCTGGTGTTAAAATTTAATATTGGAAGGGTAAGCTTGGGCTTAGGAGTGATACACATCAAGATTGATTTTGACATATCACTCATCATCTATGAGTGAAGAGTTCACTTATAATAGTAATAGTGGATAAATTATAACAGAGTGAATATACTCAATCCATGTCATAAGAGGAATCACATTTAGGGGTGGGGATGTGATATAGCAACAAAACCTCTCTCTCTCTCTAGACCTTTAAGATCCTTCTCACTCTCTCTTCTTTTTCCATTTCTTCGTTATCCAGGTTTTCAAGTACTTGTTCGCCAAGTCATTTGACAAAGGAAATTACTTATTCGACTTCATTTTTATTTTTTTTCCTTTTCTCTCTTCCTTTTTCCATTTTTTTCTTCAATTTTGGTCTCTTCAAGTTGGTTCACATCCTCCTCCTCATCATTTTGGTCTTACTCTCTTTCTAATCACTGTTTCTTTCAACATCTTGTCGACCTTTCTGAACTCTCATTGCCATCCTCACTATCATGGTGTCGTTCAAGGAGTTCTTGAGTGAGTGGCAACTGAGAGGCTCTTTTCTCGGTAGTCTTCTCATACAAGTCCTTCTAATTCTACCTGGAAACATCAGAAAACGTAATTCTTCCATTTGTGTCACAGTTTTTCTTTGGATTTTATACACGGCTGCAGATAAGGTGGCCATATATGCTATCAGCATTGTTTCAAGAAGTATAACCGACCCTTTCCTCCCCCACAACCGTGTATTAGTATCTTTCTGGACAACCATCCTCCTCCTCCACCTGGGCTTCCCCAACACCATCACCGCCTTTTCGCTGGACGACAACCAGTTGTGGTTACGCCAAAGTCTCACTCTGGTCACTCAAGTCGGATTCGTGGTTTATATCCTTCTCAGGGCATTATGGGGCATAACCCAAAGGCTTGTTCTTGTCTTTGCCATTGTCTGTGTTTCCATGGCAGGATTGCTGAAGTATGGAGAGAGAACCTGGGCACTGAATCGTGCAAGCATGGATGGCCTTAGAAAATCCATGATGAATGATGGATCACCGGCCGAGCTACACAGACATGGTGGCGACATACTCATCCACCATTAACGCAGGCATTCCGGCTCACTGGAAACAGCAACAGCCAAAATCAGCAACAACAGCTGACGATAAGAACAATTCTGATCCTCAGATACAAACATTGACGAATGCCTATGATTTATTTATGACTTTTAGGCGTCTCTTTGTCAATCTCATACTCACTTTTGATGACAGAGACAAAAGCCTGTCCATTTTCAGAGGCAAAGACGCTGCAGCAGCTTTCGAAATGGTTGGAATCGAGCTGAATTTTGCCTATGATGCACTGTACACGAAAGCATTTGTGTCTCAGTCATCCTGGTTGCATCATTCGGGCAGTTAATTTAGCTTCAGAATTTGCAGCTTGCCTGCTCTTTGCTTTAACAGATAAAGATGGTTTCGACGATAGAGATGTTTTCATCACATACCTACTGCTTCTAGGTGCTCTGGCTCTGGAAATTGCATCGTTAGCTGTTTTTATTGTCTCAGATTGGACTGTTGTTCTGTCAAGCTCAAGCACCTCCAAGGTGAATCTCAAATGGCTAGAACAGCCCATCTTTTCAATCCTTTCCTTTGTGAGAAACCCTATTCTCCGTTTGCCCAGCAGACCAAATTCACGGAACGCGGAATCCGGGGAGGCTAAAAGATACCGCTGGTCTCATTCCATGAAGCAGTTCAGCCTGTTGAGCTATTGCTTGCATGATCACCAAACTTGTTTCCAAAAACTCCTTGCTCTTCTAAAAGCCAAGGAAGATTTTGACTAGTATAAGTACACAAAATGTGAGAAAATTCCGATAACACTAGAGAAGCATATTTGAAAAAATCTGAATGAAGAAGGTGAAAAGAACAGGAACCTCACTGATTGGAGAGGCAAAATGGCAATTCTTGACACGAGTTGTCCTGAACTGAAGTGGATCATTGAACTGGAATTCGACGAGTGTTTACTTCTATGGCATGTGGCCACAGATATATGCTACCACCAACCTCAAGAATCTATGAATTCCGGGCACCAAGGTTATCGCGAGGCCAGCAAGCTCATATCATGCTACATGATGTATCTTCTGGTGGTACACCCCTTGACACTATCTTCGACAGCAGTAATAGGGCTCATACGATTCAGAGATACATGTGCCGAGCTCATTCAATTTTTCAAGGATGACGAACTGATAGGAAAAGAACCCGGTATTGGCAGTGAGAATCTGTTATTCATGCATACAGATTTATCTCCCAAGAGAGTTAAGGGGGATAAGAGCAAGTCGGTGTTGTGGGATGCAGTTGAATTGGCTAAAGAACTGATGGAATTAGATGAAGAGAAGATGTGGAAGACAATGTGCGATGTGTGGATAGAGATGCTCTGCTTTGCAGCATATAATTGCAGAGGTGATTACCATGCCAAGCTGCTGAGTGTTGGAGGAGAGCTTCTCACTTTTGTGTGGCTTCTGCAGGCACATCTTGGTATGGGAGACTACTTCCAGACAAAATCTGGCAATTTAACAGCAACTATAATCTTGGAGAGCTAGAAAGAAATGAAATAAGGTTAGCAATAGCAGCTACCTACCTATCTCCAAATTCACCATTATGCAACTGTGTTGATCGAGTTGTGTCGTGTCATCTTTGTGCCTATGTAATGTATATAATTTCGTCTCATTCAATCATATTGACAAAAAAAATATACAATTAACTACCATGCAGTTTTCCTATTCAAGTGCTACAATGTCGATGAAGATAATTCTTTGGCTCAAAAAACGGCACTTCAACATCTACTTTTACAATGAAAAGTCGTAACGTCTTTTCTAAAAGGTTGTATATAGAATACAAGGTTTTTGCCTATAGCAAATCCAGAGAGGGCTAATTTAAAGAAGCTGATTCCAAAACTTGAACCCGTGAAACACGAACAAAAAAAAAAAAGAAACATGAAATAGAACTTTTGTCAATGAGTTTTGTTCTTGTGGAGATGCATCTAGCTCCTCGTTAACCAGAGACTGAAAACCAAAACCAAAAGCATGTGTTTGGATGCTAGTCAAGTGCTCGGTGGAATCCCAATGTTCCGAATTCTCCTGATACCAGCAGCCAGAATGAGTGTAAATCACCAACTTCACAGTTCTCATCTTCCCAGTGTAAGGGTTTCATCCATAAACAATGCTCTCTAAGCTTTGATACAGAAAGAATAAAGTGCTTTCCTCGAAACCAGCTTCCAGAGAACAATGCAAATCCATGATCATATACCCCACAAAGACCCAACTTCCATATGCCTCCTTCCATCGAGCTATTTTTCAAGTTCCTCTTCGACTTGACCATCTGAAGCAACAGAGATATCCCAAAAGTATTGATGAATTATTTCAAGAAGATTTTGAGTAGATTTGCTTGATAAAGTTAGAAACTCTGACCCGCAAGATGAAGTGCCAAGTTTGCTTGAGCATCAGCATCGGAGTTTAAGCCCTTTCAAAGCGTGTATGAAAAACAAAATTCGATGTAAATGATAGAGAAAAAGGGTAGGTAACGTATTGCTGTGCTACTGACACAGAAGATATATCCTGAATAATAGGTGATAAAAGAATTACTCTTCATACCCTCAGAACATGAATGATCTGGAAAGAAAGAAACTTATCCTTCAGGTTTTTTGCCTCATCATACAAGCTTAAGATGTGAGGTTTTTTAACTCTCCATAGACCCTGAAGCTATTGAAGAAAGTATACTTAAAAGTCAAAGACAAAAACAAAATTTACTATACAAGTACAACAAAAGACAACAATGGTGAAGAAAAATAGTCACTATGGTATTAGAATCAATATAAAGTGGTGACTTTACAAAGGAAATGTGAAGACACAGATAAATATAAAGAGCAGTACCAGAGTTGCATAATCAGATTTGATTTCCAGCTAATGTAAGCTCAATAACAACTTTGAAAACATTATGTTGTTCTTGACAAAAAAATAGTTATTCTTTCTTTATTCCCTTTTAATGGGAGATTTATTTCTTGGACTGTGAAAGCCATTACGTCTCTGTACGATTGACCTTCTATCAGGCGAGATGCAAAGTTGAATTCAAATCAGAAGCAGAATAACAACAGATAATGGCATCATTTGAAGCAAGTAGAAGAAATAGATTGACAAAAATGAATGCATAGAAACAAGAAACCCACCTGCATACAGACAAGTTTGGAGTCACCCCGGACGTGGATTCTTGTAAACCCTTTCTGAAGAGCATATCTCAACCCCAAAATCATGCTTCGGTATTCTGCAACATTATTGGTTGTGTTGCCCAATCCTTCACGAAGTCTACAAATCTACAAGTGACAGGAACTCGATATCTAAAGTATAAATTATTGGAAGAAAGGGCAGACACCCTCCCCCCCTCCTCCAAAAAAAAATAGACTACACAACTCAATTCAAAACAGAGAAAAGGGGATGTACCAAACTTCCATCATCAGCTCGCAGCACAGCTCCTGCACCTGCCCGTCCAGGATTTCCTTTTGAAGCACCATCGAATTCGAGAATACAAGAGCGCTGCACATATTTAAAAATATAAGGTTTTGCAGCACCACTTCACAAAAACATCACAGTATAAGTACATTCATCAACTGAACCAGACTAGATATCATTAAGATTTAGCTTTCAGTACTAAAAAGGGTGTGAGTGCATATGTATACATGCACACGTATGCACAAATACACAGGGACAGAGACACCCATACACAGACTGATGTAAAAGATCTTAATGATTGCCATTTATCATGTAACACTAAAATTAAAACTAATGATTATCACAAATTTTGCAAATGAAATTTCTACTGTGTATCAGGAAACAACAACATTCTCATAGTGAATAGTGCACAATAATGTTCTTCTGAGAAATGCATTTTACATGTCAGAGAGTGAATATGAACTTCAACTTACCCAACTTTCAGGCCCCAGCACTTGCAGGGATGTCTTCTTCGGCATATTCTCACCAGATGCTTCACATTTGGAAGAAGATGACTGCTGTAAGAAAAATGAGATATGAACTCGAAATTGCATGGGCATTCTGGAACGAACAAAGAAAATAGAATGATCCTGCATAATATAAAGCCAATCATAATAATAATCCGCCCAACTCACTACTATAGCCTAGAGTTATAGACCTAGACAATCCCTAGAGAGAGGGAGAGACAGAAAACAAGTCCTTAAGTCAAACCTTACATAAATGATACTGGATTAATTCAGAGACTTTGTACATATCCTCCTAGGATGCTTTGTAGACATTCTCCACATAAGAATATAGTTCTGTCACCAATGTGGGCAACATAAAGGTTGCACTTGCTAACCATACATCTAAACAAGTTTCAAGCTCCCCCACCCCTCATTCCCCTTCTAAAAATCCATGCATATGTAACAAAACAAGAAAAAGGAAATAGCAAAAGACAAAAAAAACTTGTTTTTTAACTATTAATGGATATATTATATTTCATTGTTGTCTTAGGATTTTGTGGATGAACTTAACAAAAACATTTTAGATGGCTCTTGAATTATGGTTTAGGATAAAACTCACCATTTAGCATTTCAAGTGATAGCCAGACAAGGCAGTAATAGAACTTGGCACTAGGAAGTGGTTTTGCTGTTCCATGATCACACAAGAACACTAGGAATTCACTAAGATATTAGCTACTACTAATTTTGATGATCCTGATACTACTATACACTGTCACAAAGAAAATCAACCAGGCACTCGGAGTATGAATGTAAGTGTACCTCGGGACAAAAGTCATTTATGTCACAGACTCTCCTTCAATGCCACACTCGGATCTTTTGTGACAAAAGTTCGATTCAAATCAGTGAACATAATTGCTTCCAGAAAAGTGCAATGGCAAAAAATCCCCTTAGAAATTAGAAAATGTTGTGATAAATCATCTCACCTGTAAAGGGAAAGGAACAACTGTACCGAAAAGTTCCCCTGTTAGATCTGCAGCTCTAATGGAATAAAGAGCATTCCCAAGCCCACGAGAGATAAGATATTCCTTCGTGTCCTTAGGCATAGAGTACCCTTTGTACACACTGACAGGCGGATCACATATCTATTGGAAAAGGAAGAAGGCCAGAAATTAGTTTAGTCCAAGCAAAGTCATACAAATACACATTAAAAGAATTAAAGAACAGTACATGTAAACATCTAGACTTTCTAGGATAGCTTTGGAGTATTGCTTAAACAATATATCCAATATAACCATCCAACATATATAAGCACCTTGGGATCAAAAAACAGACAATGATGATCAAAAAAAAGCTCATGCAAATGTCCCAAAACATATTCCCTAAACAAGTATCAAAATGTCATAGTTTGGTCAGCTTAGAAATTGAAACACTTTGGAAATATTTCAGAAACAAAGAAAAAAATTTAAAAATTTATTTCCAAAATATTCCGAAACAATAGTTAAAACATATTGAAATACCTCGAAACATAGAAATTTAATATTTAAATCACTTATTTGTTTCAATTTCCATGGAAACGGAAACATTTTATTCATTTCATTAAAAAATAAATGAAATTTTGATCCTTGTTCCTGAAGGACGAAATTTGAAACAGGACACCAATAAAAACTAAAAAGCAATGACAAAAGATATTGGATAGCAAGCCACATTGCCCATTGGAGTAAATCAATAGATGACAGCAAAATATGGAGTAAGAGAATAATTACTGAAGATCCGACTTGAGCCTGACAATCTCTCAAATTCATGTAAATGCCTACAATGTCCCCTTTACGAACAACAAAGAATGCATCCTTCTCCTCTTTCATGACTGGTTCAACATCTAATTTTTGTGAAACAGACTTACTTCCACTGGCCCTTCGAGATGAGTAGCACTGCACACGAAACTTCGTCAACCAGAACTCCAAATTCACTGTTCTATGACTAGCATGCTCAAAGCTTCTCCTCCATATGGGATTTGAGAAACTAGAAAATGAACTCTTCGCAATTAAATGGCCACTAATTGAAAATATAGTCATCGAACACGCATCAAAGAAGCAGTTCATTACATAGAGGTTTCCTCAAGTTCTCCAGATTTCAAAAACAATAGCTGAGGATTCAAAATGCAAAATAGAGCCCTAATCAGGAAAATAAAATGACAATGACCGTGTATACATGTATGGACATAACACTTCATTAGTTGATGCAGCAGCGATGACTCTGTGGAGCTTTTCCTGATCGGTGTCAACTCTGTGTGTGTGGAGACATTGAGAGGGAGAGAGAGAGAGAGACCGGTGAGGTTTTGGATTGATTTGAAGGGTTTTGGTTCCTTCCGGTTCATAATGGTATAGTAGTTGAACCGGAACGGTTTTCAACTTGCAATTGCAAAGATGACAGGGGTATCCCACTTCACACACTCGAAAGATTTAAGATTTTTCATATTACACTGATATAAAAGTGTTACAACGTGTTCTTTTTGTTAATTTTGGTTATTTATTCAGTTAAAAATTATCTAATTGATATTAATGAAATGAGTAATAAAAATTAACTGAAAAATTGCATTATAACACTTTTAAGTTTTAATAGATTAAGGTTATAATATAAGAAATTAATTATTACGTGTGCCTGAAGGCACGAAATAATAAAAATATTATCATATTTTTATTCATATCTAAAATCAAATTACAAATATAGAGGAGAGACAAAAAAATTTAAGCATCAATTGTAAATAGGGTAAACAGTAGTAATGGTGATGGGCGACAGTGGTGATGGTGGGAGATGGTGATGGTTGTGGTGGGTAGTAATGACCGTGGTGATGGTGGTGTTGAGTTTTGAGTGATGATGGTGATAATGGCAACCATAGGTGACGACAGCGGTTGTGGTGGGTGTGGGTGATGGTTGACAGTGGTGGTAGTAGGGTGACGACAATGGTGGTGGGCGACAATGAGTGTTTTTGAACTGATAAATGGTGGCAAATGACAGTGGTGGTTAGGGATGGTAGTGGACTGGGGAAAAATGGGTATTCGTCCAAATCCGTCCCGTTTGGACCGGGGATAAACTATATGTATTGGACGGTGAACGTATACGAAAATATCCGTATAAACCCGTACAAGGATGAAGGCAGGGATGGACTTACTCTTACCCCCGCCCCGCCCCTCGCCCCACCCCCGCTACCCGTTATATATATATAACTAAATATATTTACTGTAACTACTAATCTAGAAATATGGTAATCAAACTAACAAGTGGCATTGCTATGTGATAATCTTATCAACTTTTTTTCCTGATTATTCTTTTTTCTATTTGTGTTCACTGATTGAAACTATTAGGAGTTTGGATTGAACATTCTCTAAAAATAGATAAGAGAGAGTAAGATAGTTTTGCATTTCATTGTGGATAGAAATATTGTGAATGGAGGTTGATGAGTTCCTCTACTAAAGTGAACTAAGAAATTGGAAAAATTATTGAGTTAGCGAAATTTTAAGTTTTCATCTTTTAACATTTTATAACTGTAATATGAATTGTAATAATAAAAATTATTCTAGGAAATTTCAAGTGTAGTCTTATCGTTTTCTTGGTTCAATTTTAATTTTTCTTTTCTTCTTTTTTCTCTAATAGTTTTGTTTCTCTTTTTGTGGTCCAATAACACTTTAAACAGAATATTATATTTGTTTTGGCTTTTACATTTTGTAATTTAGATTATTCACTAGATTATTTAGAATGTTGTTAGATTATTTAAAATATTAAATTTATTTAGAATTTTAGATTATGCTACTTGGGCTTGGGCTTGAGCTTAAGTGGGTATGGGGAAACGGGGACAAGGACGGGGAATTAAAAATTTATCTGTAGACAGAGATGGGGATAAAAATTATACCCGTTAACGGGGGTGGACAGGGGATGGACAAAATTTTTTTAAGCGAGTACAAGGATGAAGATTACACTCTCCGCCCCTTCTTCGGTCCACTGACATCCCTAGTGGTGGTAGTGGGTGACAGTTGGTGATGGCAATGGTGGGCGATGACGGTAGGTGTAGTGGGGGGTTAGTGACAGTGGCTGGTAGTGGTGTTTAAATTTTTGATTGACCGCAATTTCTTACCTTACCCTACTGAACGACTAGTCGTAAAAATCGGGTAAGAATGCGGAAGAGTTTTTGATTTTCTAATTAAATCGGGTAGGAATGCGAAATATCTATCAATTTTTGCATTCCTACCCTACCCGCAAAAAATATATTTAACTTTTTTATTTTTTTTAATAATTATAAGAGTATTTGTGCAGTATAATTTATATTATAACATTGTTATTGTTGTGGATGTTTGAGTTGTTAAAACATGGACTTGTTTTTTGTGAAAGTTACATGATTTGTGGTGAACTGGTGATCTATTAGAGTAGTTATGATTTTAATATANCCCTGATTATTCTTTTTTCTATTTGTGTTCACTGATTGAAACTATTAGGAGTTTGGATTGAACATTCTCTAAAAATAGATAAGAGAGAGTAAGATAGTTTTGCATTTCATTGTGGATAGAAATATTGTGAATGGAGGTTGATGAGTTCCTCTACTAAAGTGAACTAAGAAATTGGAAAAATTATTGAGTTAGCGAAATTTTAAGTTTTCATCTTTTAACATTTTATAACTGTAATATGAATTGTAATAATAAAAATTATTCTAGGAAATTTCAAGTGTAGTCTTATCGTTTTCTTGGTTCAATTTTAATTTTTCTTTTCTTCTTTTTTCTCTAATAGTTTTGTTTCTCTTTTTGTGGTCCAATAACACTTTAAACAGAATATTATATTTGTTTTGGCTTTTACATTTTGTAATTTAGATTATTCACTAGATTATTTAGAATGTTGTTAGATTATTTAAAATATTAAATTTATTTAGAATTTTAGATTATGCTACTTGGGCTTGGGCTTGAGCTTAAGTGGGTATGGGGAAACGGGGACAAGGACGGGGAATTAAAAATTTATCTGTAGACAGAGATGGGGATAAAAATTATACCCGTTAACGGGGGTGGACAGGGGATGGACAAAATTTTTTTAAGCGAGTACAAGGATGAAGATTACACTCTCCGCCCCTTCTTCGGTCCACTGACATCCCTAGTGGTGGTAGTGGGTGACAGTTGGTGATGGCAATGGTGGGCGATGACGGTAGGTGTAGTGGGGGGTTAGTGACAGTGGCTGGTAGTGGTGTTTAAATTTTTGATTGACCGCAATTTCTTACCTTACCCTACTGAACGACTAGTCGTAAAAATCGGGTAAGAATGCGGAAGAGTTTTTGATTTTCTAATTAAATCGGGTAGGAATGCGAAATATCTATCAATTTTTGCATTCCTACCCTACCCGCAAAAAATATATTTAACTTTTTTATTTTTTTTAATAATTATAAGAGTATTTGTGCAGTATAATTTATATTATAACATTGTTATTGTTGTGGATGTTTGAGTTGTTAAAACATGGACTTGTTTTTTGTGAAAGTTACATGATTTGTGGTGAACTGGTGATCTATTAGAGTAGTTATGATTTTAATATATTTCATGTGATTTAAACTTTAAATAATTGTTATTGTATTTGTGTAACAATTATGATGGATTGATGTTCATACTTTCTTGTGTTTTATTGTAATTGTTGTTGTAGTTATTTTAGATTTTAGTGTTATTGATTATTGTGTTGTTAAATTGGTGCATGTTATTTAATTGAATTATTAAAATAATCCAAAAATTAATAATTACAAAAGTATTTACCTAACTTCCTACCCGATTAATCGGGTAGGAAGTCGAGTACGAATACAACACTTGGTCAATTAGGAATACGACACCTGATTGGGTAAGGTAGACCAAGAAAAAATTATTCCGCAAAGTATCGGGTAGGAAAAAAAATACTATATTTGCTACTTGTATGGTAGGGTGAACACCCCTAGTGGCTGGCGGAGATGATGGGCGATGATAAGTGATGGTGCGTGCTGATGGTAGACAATGACAGTAATGGGGATAACGGTGGTAGTGGTAATAAAATATAAGAATGAGATAACAATTGTGGTAAATAGTGGCGGTGGACGACGATGACAAGAATCGATGGTGAGTGGTGGTGGGGGGTGGAGGTAAGGCAGTGGTGGTGGTGGCGATGGTTGTTGTTGTGGTAAAGGTAGTGGTGGGGGTGACGACGACTGTGGCGGTGGTGGTAGTGATGATGGTGGTAAGATGGCGACAGCGATGATGGTGTGTGGGGGTGGGGTTGGTGGTGGTGGTGGTGGTGAGGTGGTTCCAAACATTATTTAAAAAAAAAATACTTATGAGAAGTTATAAGTATTAAAAACACTTTTAAAAAGTCACCCAAACACATCCTTAAAGACCTATTTTTCTTATTAAATTTGGGGTGTTAATATTAATTATTGGATTAATTTTAAAATAAATTTAAAGAGATCTCAACCGCAAAAAAAAAAATCATTTTATTTATTTTTTGAGATTTGAATTATATTGTACTTTATTATATAGATATAATCTTTGAGAATATCAGTAAAAAATTTTAAATCTCTGAGGGTATAAAATGAAATTCACCCAAAAATAATTCCATTTTTAAGTCTAAAAATTTGATTCTATATATTTCTTTCCTCTTTATTCTTTTTTTTTTTATTTTCTTTGGGCATAAAAGCTAATTGTTGGATATTATTTTTAATTTTCTTGCCCAAGCAAGTATTCACTGATATTTACATGAAATCAAACAGCATTGGGAAGCATACTCTATAATACTTGTCTTACCAAACGAGCGGTTAGCCTAGTGAGTTAGAACTCGCTTTTTTCTCGTTTAATACTTGGATTCGAATCTTCGTAAATACGATAATTCGTTAGTGTTAAACTTACTCTTCAACACCTAGAGCACATAGTAGGACTTTAACTTTGGCCCCGATGTAGTTTTGTGTAGTATTAAGAGACAATATTTCCTAACGGATATGTGGAGTAATTTATCAGCATATTTATTTTTCTGTACCAAAAAAAATATAATACTTGTCTTGTAAAATGATTTGTAATTATTTTAGAACATATTATTTCTCGGAAAATAATTTGACACATAAAAAATTTTCAAAGAGTGCTATGCATAATTGTTTACTTGTTCCTGTGGGGACAGTTTAGCCACCCGAAAGTCATTGGCCTCGAGTCATCAACTTAAAAGTCAAAACTCCTGGTAGGATTGATAATTGAGCCAACATACTCGAGCTCAACTCGAATAAAACTCAATTCGAGTTCGACTTGTGTTTTAAACAAGTCAAACTTGAAACGAGCCTAAAAAAGGCTCAACTCGATCTCATAAACTCATCTTGTTTTAATGTAAAATAGTTGAACTAATTAAACTCGACTCGAGTTTAACTAGTTTTGGACTCTTGATTCAGGCTCAATTCATTTTCTAAACGAATTCAATTTAAACAATGTTCTAAGCTCATTTGAAAAAAAAGGAACTCAACAAGTTCAATTCAAGCTCATAAAATTCAATTCGATTATCGACCCTATCCTCAAGGCACAAAAGGATAGCAATCCCTAGTCAAACAGTAAGCAAAGGAATAGACCTTGGATGATGAGTTCATAAGAAAACTAAAATGAAAAGTCTTTCTGGTCTGGGACGATTTACTTGCTATAATCAGTTGACAAATAAAAATTATCCAGTGAATTAAGAGTTCAATATGTCCTATTTAGCAAGATAATAACCTAGTAAAAAACTAGTGGATATATATATATATCATGTTTCATTATATAACAAAATAACTCTCAAATTCAACTTTTAGGCTAAATATAATCCTTTTTCTTTTTCCTTCTTTTAGAGAAACGTGTTCTTACTCTATTGCATCAAATTATAACCTAAGCCTTCTCCTAGTAAATTACTATGGAGAAACTAAACTCTATTTTAGAAATTGCACTCTTGTAGTATGATTAGCCCCCTATTAGTACGAATGAGCCAAGTTTCTTGGATTCACGTGATCCTAGTCGGACCCTTTTTTTTTTTCGTTCTTCCCTAAACAATAGGACAAATTACAGGCTAGAAGTGATTTCAAAGGGATCACAGTTGCCACAATTTAGCAAATGAATAAGCACAAGGCTGCGAATGTTTTCATTTGATATGCTCTAGCAACCACACACTATATTAGCAGAGATGGCCATAAACACAGCAGCTTTCAAATGACAAACCACACTTGGTTAGCTCTGTTCTTTTACAGAGACAGGAGATTTTGGTCCATATTTGGAGAATACATCTGTAAGCACAGCCTTCTCCTTGATCTTTAACCTAAAAGACAATGAAAAGTTTGTGAGGGAAAGGAGAACAAAAGGACTTGAAATTGGCTAGAATTTGTTTTAAATAAGATAAGAAAAAAAGTAGGTAATAAAACATGTAGCATACCGATTTGCAGACCCTGGAATGTTAAATTTCGGAACTTTCTCTCCTTTTCTTTTGGCTACTAGCTTTTTCCCATTTGCACGGCTTTTCTCTTTTTGCTTCGTGGATGATGAATGAGTTGCGTTATCGTTAGCAGGCTCTTTTCTATGTTCCATGGCATCCATGCTATCACTNAGGAATAGACCTTGGATGATGAGTTCATAAGAAAACTAAAATGAAAAGTCTTTCTGGTCTGGGACGATTTACTTGCTATAATCAGTTGACAAATAAAAATTATCCAGTGAATTAAGAGTTCAATATGTCCTATTTAGCAAGATAATAACCTAGTAAAAAACTAGTGGATATATATATATATCATGTTTCATTATATAACAAAATAACTCTCAAATTCAACTTTTAGGCTAAATATAATCCTTTTTCTTTTTCCTTCTTTTAGAGAAACGTGTTCTTACTCTATTGCATCAAATTATAACCTAAGCCTTCTCCTAGTAAATTACTATGGAGAAACTAAACTCTATTTTAGAAATTGCACTCTTGTAGTATGATTAGCCCCCTATTAGTACGAATGAGCCAAGTTTCTTGGATTCACGTGATCCTAGTCGGACCCTTTTTTTTTTTCGTTCTTCCCTAAACAATAGGACAAATTACAGGCTAGAAGTGATTTCAAAGGGATCACAGTTGCCACAATTTAGCAAATGAATAAGCACAAGGCTGCGAATGTTTTCATTTGATATGCTCTAGCAACCACACACTATATTAGCAGAGATGGCCATAAACACAGCAGCTTTCAAATGACAAACCACACTTGGTTAGCTCTGTTCTTTTACAGAGACAGGAGATTTTGGTCCATATTTGGAGAATACATCTGTAAGCACAGCCTTCTCCTTGATCTTTAACCTAAAAGACAATGAAAAGTTTGTGAGGGAAAGGAGAACAAAAGGACTTGAAATTGGCTAGAATTTGTTTTAAATAAGATAAGAAAAAAAGTAGGTAATAAAACATGTAGCATACCGATTTGCAGACCCTGGAATGTTAAATTTCGGAACTTTCTCTCCTTTTTTTTTGGCTACTTGCTTTTTCCCATTTGCACGGCTTTTCTCTTTTTGCTTCGAGGATGATGAATGAGTTGCATTATCGTTAGCAGGCTCTTTTCTATGTTCCATGGCATCCATGCTATCACCGCTTGTGGGCTTTAGAAAATGTTTCCCATCATCTTCCCATTCTACTTGTACATGCTCATCATATGCACCCTCAAATTCATTACCAATGGTTTCCTTCCATGAATCTGAAAAAGGATCCATGTCCAATCCAGCATCCATGACTCCTTCCAAATTGGGAACTGATAGATGAGGTGGACAGTCTCTTGTATCCCCCGACTGATCATAGGCATGGAGGGTTGAGCTTGGATTCACAACCTCACACTTTATCTGCTTCTGAATTTTACCAAAATTTATACTTTGTTTTGAAAATACCTGTACAAAGCTGTTATGATAGAGAAATTATTTTAGTAGATTTTAGTTCAGAAAGCAAACTTGTATCCGATGAAAAAAGCATCTAGGTCATCCCTATACCAGAGTAATGTTCATTTAAGAGCAAATACGTTGACAATCATGCAGCACTAGACCCACTAAGACATGATCCAGCCATATCTTCTATGCTTGCTGAGGGAACTAATGTAAGCACAAAAGCTCGTTCATTTTCTTATTGTTAGTTGGATGTTTTCAAGAAGGAGATACAGCTTCTGGTTCCCCAACCCCTTTCACCACCACCCAAAAAAAAGAGTTAATGAAAAGGAAAACAAGAGTAGTACAGCATTTTAACTTTGCCAAAATATTATATACCTATTGGCTTCATCCTCAGACTTAAAATCAACATAGGCAAGACCCTTGCAGATAGGGTCCCTTGTCTTATTGTTTCCAGAAACAGCTGGGATTATGTCAAGTATTCCTGGAACTCCTTTAAAAGCCAACTGTAGATCTCTGTGGATGTTCTTTTTCTTTGGAAGATGGGACAAGCGTACACGAATTCCACTTGGAATACCTTCAAAGACTGCAAATTTTGAATAATACTGCCAAGTAAGACTCAAACAGNTGTTTCCAGAAACAGCTGGGATTATGTCAAGTATTCCTGGAACTCCTTTAAAAGCCAACTGTAGATCTCTGTCGATGTTCTTTTTCTTTGGAAGAGGGGACAAGCGTACACGAATTCCACTTGGAATACCTTCAAAGACTGCAAATTTTGAATAATACTGCCAAGTAAGACTCAAACAATCATTCATGAATAAGATCCTAATTGGCACTGGTGAGAGAACATGATGATAACTCATGAAATGCCACAAAAAACCGTATGATAATTATCTAAATAAATCTTGGTTCCATTTTGAAAATGCGAGGTAGAAGCATTTGAAGGCATCCAATAAACCTATCCCTCCCAGACAAAAACTAATGGTTTCCAGTTTCCTTAAATTTCACACTCCCATAAACAAACAACTGAATATCACCAACTCCAAAGCATATCAAAACAAAAAAACTGTTAAAAAATGGATGAAGCAAGCCGGATAGTACATAACAAATCACTGTTATGTATTCATGGAATTCTTGTATCCCGTCTTTACATATTCATTCGCCCAAACCCAAGATACTTGATATATCTTTTGTAATCCAGCCAAATTTCAGATATAATACCATTATGCTTCTAAAAATTCTGACTTTAGCCCCAAACAAGATAAAATTCCTTGCTAATTACTTTGTAGACTAATTAACCTTTCTCCCTCCTGATTATCACAGTTGTGCATTACTTAACAATTCTCTATTTGTATGGTACAACAACAATTTGCCAGACACTTTTTGACAAAGACTATCCTCAGCATGTACGACTTTATTTTCGAACACTACCTCATAATTTGTGAAGAATGGAATGATTTGATGATACAACTAGATAAAGGTTAAGCAAGTAGACCTAGTGACTTTCAGATTCACAATACCAAGTTTGTAGTGCTCTTATAATTAAACTAACAAACAAACTCTAAAAACAAAAGCTTAAATCTTCAAAATGCTTAAAGCTTTGTGTCATATATTAGAAAATCAATTGCATATGTCACATTATTTTAGTATATCTGTATGCATTCTGTTCTAGAAAATATATTAAGAACACGTAGCCTTAACACAAGGTAGGACATTACACATTGTAACCAACATCTAGTTTGTCCCCATAAATCCCAGATAATCATTCCACATAATCCTTTTGCTAAATGTCATAAAACCTGTGAGATAGGTTGAAAATAAAATTGAAACCCAATAGGTATGTGAAGTGTCAAACAAAACTCCATCTTCGAAGGAAATACAGAAACTGCTACAAAGAGTGGCTAGATTCAAGAAGTTGCAGACACGAACAGATTAAGTCATCTAAGATGCTTATGTCATGTGCAATGAAAACAAGTGGCTGCACATATATCTAAGAGTGGTTTGATTCGGGATGGCAATGCCACAGAGAAAGGGCATCAAAAAGAAATGAGGGTCTCGCTCTTAGAAAAGACACGATATATTCCACAAAACAATTAGAAAATATGACCTTTGTAGAGGATGGAAAGAAGGTCTTCGCCACTAAACACCACTCAATAAGGAGTCTTTGTACTCACAATCATCAAGTTATGGAATGAAAAGATGCCACATGTTGGGAACCAGTAGAAAAATAAATGATAGAACAAGAAGCAACAACTCCAGCTGAAATGCTCAATTCATATTTTAGATCTCCAATGCCATATGACTGCAAAAGATACACATACAAATTCCAAACAATTCATTTGCTGACAAAGTAATGCCCTGCTTAGCCACACAAGTTATGAATTGTGAGGACCTTGCAACTGCCTATTGAGGGTGTTGGGCATATATATCCAGAGTTTGGGGAAGCAGAAATAAAAAACCTCACAACATCTGAATGAACTCTCTCTTGACTTTCAACTTTCAATGCAATCAGAGAATGTGTTGCACTGCATTTCCCATATTGGGAGAACTCTCATAAAATTGCTTCAAAATCTGAGGGATTGTTCATTTCATTGATTAAACATTCTCACTGGCTATGCTGTATGATACAACAAGAATTCAGTTCCTAAACAAGCATGAAAACTCATATGTCATCATGGCCTGGCAAAGTACAGAATTGTACCCATTTGCAATGCCAAATACTTATTCAACCCCACCTCGATCTCCTTCCCATAGATTTCAAAGAAGCAATTGGAGAACTGAGCTCCCAAAGAAAAGTTTTTCTGATATCCTTATGGTTCCTGTCAAACTCAAAGTACCACAATTCACAAACCTTGGTCATTTTTCACAAACAAATCCACAATTTCTCATTCGCTTTCCTCAAAGAAGAACATATCAAATGTCAGGTATTATATATAGTCATATATTTAGATCACCAATGGGTCTTCCATTGTCTTCTCTGTTACCATATTTCAAATGAAGCATTAAACCTCTTTTGATGGCAAAACAGTACTGGTATAGAGTTCAATTCTATGGGCTTAGGCTCCCTTCCCAACCCCCCCCCCCCCCCCCCCCCTTTTT